GGGTAGCTGGGACTAAAGGTGCATGCCACCACGCCCAGCTAAGTTTTTGTATATTTAGTAGAGGTGGGGTTTCACCATGTTAGCCAGATGGTCTCGATCTGTTGACCTTGTGATCCACCCGCCTCGGCCTCCCAAAGTGCTGGGATTACAGGCCTGAGCCATGGCGCCCGGCCTGCTTTTCTTACACTTCTTTAGGTCTTGCTGTTCAGATTGATGTACCATTTAACTTGCATAGATTCCTTAAGCTTAAACCTAAAAACTTATTGGGCTACCTTTCATTTAAAATAAAACCAACTAAAAACAGTAAAAAACTCTAGGACATAATAAGAGGCTTAGGTTGTAAATTAGAGACTTTTCCTTCTCAGTAGTATTTTTTCTTTACTGTTTATTCATTTAAAGATATTTCAGAGACTTTCTTCTTCCTCTTCCGGGGACATTGTCTGCAGGCACTCATGCTGTTGTAGGCTTTCCTACGATACAGCCTCTAACAAAACTAGGGTTGTTCACCTTTACACCAGGAAGGTTGGGAAAGCACCAAAATCTGCATGTGTCGTGTGCCCATGCAGACCTTGAGGTGTTCACGGTGTAAGACCGAAAGTTCTTATGAGAGTGTCCGAAACAGAAACATGGCCTTTGGTGGTTTCACGTGTTGTAAATGTGTTCGTGACAGGATCAAGCATGCTCTCCGTATTGAGGAGCAGAGAATGGTTGTGAATTTTGAAGACACAAGTACAGAGTCAGAAAGCTAGATTAAAACATGAAACTTCTGTGAGTAATAAGAATGTAAAGACTTAAAAAAAAATTTCATCTGCTATGAATGCTTTTGATTGGCTAAGGTAAGCTACATACTTAGATAGCAAAACAAATGGCATTTTTTTCCCTTAATTAATAATGATAACATGGCTTTAGTTTGATTATTTAAAGCTTCTTTAATTCCTTTTTGTTTTTTTCCTTTTGTGAAAATACATGATTAAAAGTGAAGCTGAGGCTGGGTGTTGGGGCTCACACCTGTAATTTGAGCACTTTGGGAGACCAAGGTGGGGCAGATCACTTGAGCTTAGGAGTTTGATAGCAGCCTGGGCAGCATGATGAAACCCCCCGGTACAAAAAACGAACAGAGTCAGGCGTAGTGGCTGCGCTTGTGGTTCTAGCTACTCAGGAGGCCGAGGCGGGAAGAACACTTGAGCCTAGGAGGCAGAGGTTGCAGTGAGCCGAGATGATGTCACTGCACTCCCTGGGTGACAGAGTGACACCTTGGCTTGAAGAAACAAATGAAGTTGAGAAAAGTTTGTTGAAAAATTGAGGTGATTAAAGACTAAAAGAATAAAGAAAAGTAGAAGAAGTTGTGTGCCACGATCTCAGTGCCAAAGCAAACCTGGTTTTTGTTTTTCCTTTTATTGTTTTGAGGTTTGCTTAGAGTAGTACATATTTTAATTGTTTAGATTAGTGGATGTTTTACTTAAACGTATACATTTTTCTTTTGTTTTGGACAGTCACAGTCATGTGGTGTGACTTTGTGCCTTTTACTTTGATATTAGTACCATTGCTCCTTGTTTTGTTTTGTGTGTGTTTTTTTTTTTTGATGCATAGTCTCATGTAGTCTCACTCACTTTGTTGCCCGGGCTTGAATGCAGTGTCAAGATCGTGGCTTGTTGGGACCTCCGCCTCCCAGGTTCAAGCAATTCTCCTGTCTCATCCTCCCGAGTAGCTGGGATTACTGGCATGCGCCAACCACGCCCGGCTAATTTTTGTATTTTTAGTAGAAATGAGGTTTCCCTATGTTGGCCAGGCTGGTCACAAACTTCTGACCTCAGGCGTTCTACTCACCTCAGCCTCCCAAAGTCCAAGCGTGAGCCACCATGCCAGGCCTGTTACTTGTTTTTTTAGTGTTTGTGTGAACCCAGTTTGAAATGACTGCATAGTATTCCATTATAATCATCTGCTTGCATTCTGCATTTATTAGAAATACCTGGGGTAGAGACTGAATTGTCTACCACACTCTGTGAGAGCAGGTAGGCACACAAAGGATTGGCAATAATGGTGTACTATGCTAATGCAGAGTAAGCACTTAGCATTCTGGAGGCATAGAGTAAGAGACCCTTCACTCATTATTAGAGCTGTGGGGGAGGATCCGTGCGGAAAAGGTGATAATGCACGTGTCCTAAAAAGGAGATGTATCGTTGTGTGTGCGCATGGCAGACACTGCATATGCCAGGCAGGAAAGTGCTGAGGTGGTGGGAGTACAAATTTGATGTGAATTTTATTTGACTTAACTGAGACCTGTAGTTGCTTAGGTTAATTGCCTGAGTTAAAATGAGTAATCAAAAAATGGGAGTGTATGTAACTTAAACATTTATTCTGAATATGTAAAAGAATGTTCAGTAATTTGTTATAGAGAGCCAAAGTCACACTTTGGAGTATAGATAAATTAACTGGGGTTTCTAGTCACAATTCTTGAATAAACCAAACTTAAATGTAGATATAATCTAATGATTTGCAGTAGTTATTTATTTATTTATTTATTTATTTTTTTGAGATGGAGTTTCGCTCTTGTTACCCAGGCTGGAGTGCAATGGCGCGATCTCGGCTCACCGCAACCTCCGCCTCCTGGGTTCAAGCAATTCTCCTGCCTCAGCCTCCTGAGTAGCTGGGATTACAGGCACGCGCCACCATGCCCAGCTAATTTTTTGTATTTTTAGTAGAGATGGGGTTTCACCATGTTGACCAGGATGGTCTCGATCTCTTGACCTCGTGATCCACCTCCTCAGCCTCCCAAAGTGCTGGGATTACAGGCTTGAGCCACCGCGCCCGGCCCTGCAGTCGTTATTTATTTAAAGCGGAGCCAGAACTTGTAGACAATTGAAAAGCTATTAGAGATACCCTAATGAGACTTGTTACAGTTTTTGTTCTTGATTTTTACTGTAATTCTGCAGTATATCGCTTTTTAAATAAGTGACCTTTTTCATTTCCTTTCTTTCTCTCTCTCTCTTTTTTTTTTTTTTTGATGGTGTGGGGCCTCACCTTCTCCCAGCCTGGAGTGCAGTGACACTGTCTCAGCTCCTGGGCGCGGGTAATCCTGTCAACCTCAGCCTCCCAAGTAGCTGGTGTTAACAGGCACACACTACCACAGCTGGCTAATGTTTTGTATTGGAACAGGGTTTCCTATGTTGCCCAGGCTGGTGTAGAACCCCTGCACTTACACGATCCTCCCACCTTGGCCTCCCATGCTTTGAGATTGCAGGCGTGAGCCACAGAGGACGTGGACCTTCAGGAAGCCTTCCAAAAGCTGTGAACAAGAGTTTTCATACAAATAAGTCTTTAGTTTTAGTAGAGTGGGATTTGTTTTATTTTACTTTTGTGTGCACAGTACTCTAATAGTATCTGAATATGATAATTGTTCTTCTGTAAAATATTGATGCTGCTGGTGCGCAGAAAGCCTGGAGAGTTATGTTCCGTTCAGTTACAGATCAGTCCAATACTTCTTTTATATGTTCCACATAGTTTGGGAAACTGTTCTCAATATGAGGCTAAGGGAGTTCAAGGCAGAAAAGCCCGAACAGCGGAGGCCTAGAGAGGCCAGATCCTGAAGAGTGTTCTGTACCACACTTAGAGTGACCCTTTCAGAAGTCCTCAGGGGAACTGTTGAAGAGTTTATCAGGAAAGTGATACTACGGAATTTGTACTTTGGGAAAAGCCTTCTGGGTATTGAAAATAGCTTTGATGACTTGAGGAGGTCCAGAAGAAAGGAGACCTGAACTCGGATAAGTTACGGCAGTGGCTGGAGATAATAGGTATTAACAAGTACAGTTCTTAGATCTCAGTGTTGGGATATTTGCTCTCCCCTTTTTAGGCCTGAAGTGATAACGGTGTTCCCTGTAATACAAACATCCTTGAGCACAGAGCTTTTACTGAATCTAGGTTTATTTTTTTAGAATGGAGTTCCAAACGGTTAATTAATTGATTTTATACTAAACACTGCTATAGGTGGTATGACCCAAAGGGTTCATAGAGTAAGAAAAGACCTATGTCATGGGCTTTTCAGCCTTGTGGGAAAGACAGAGAGGTTTGAGTGCTACAAAGCAGGGAAGAACTACAAAGCACGATGTAGTGGCGGTACTATCTTTTCCAGGGTATGAACACTTAAGTTCTTGATTACAAGTGTTTTTTTTATTTTATAATTTTTTTTTTTTTTTAAACATAAGAGATGGGTTTTCACCATGTTGGCCAGGCTGGTGACCTCAGGTGATCCGCCTGCCTCAGCCTCCCAGAGTGCTGCTGGGATTACAGGCATGAGCCACTGTGCCTGGCCCCCCTTTATTTATTTATTTACGTTTATATCTATCTATTTATTTATTTATTTTTGAGATGGAGTCTTACTCTGTCGCCAGGCTGGAGTGCAGTGGCACAATCTCGGCTTACTGCAACCCCTGCCTGGGTTCAAGCGATTCTTCTGCCTCAGCCTCCCGAGTAGCTGGGACCACAGGCGCGTGCCACCATGCCCGGCTAATTTTTGTATTTTTAGTAGAGACGGGGTTTCACCATGGCCAGAATGGTTTCAATCTCTTGACCTCGTGATCTGCCCGCCTCGGCCTCCTAAAGTGCTGGGATTACAGGTGTGAGCCACTTTTTTATTTTTTAATAAGATGAAGTCTTACCCTGTCTCCCAGACTGGAGTGCAGTGGCTCTGTCTCGGCTCACTGCAACCTCCATCTTCTGAGTTCAAGTGATTCTCCTGCCTCAGTCTTCAGAGTAGCTGGGATTACACGAGCCTGCAACTATGCCTGGCTAATTTTTGTATTTTTAGTAGAGATGGGGTTTTACCACATTGGCCAGGCTGGTCTCGAGCTCCTGACCTTGTGATTCACTCACCTTGGCCTCCCAAAGTGTGGGGATTACAGGCGTGAGCCACTGTGCCCAGCCCCAAAAGTGTTTTTTTAACAATGCATGAAAATGATGTTTTGCAAATTGTTTTATGATTTTTTTTTTCATTTCATTATTAGGTAATAGCTAAGAGAAAAGAAGATTCTGGGAAGATAAAACTTTTGCTTCATTGGATGCCTGAAGATATGTAAGTATTTGAAATACCCTGTGTAACATTTAATAAGTTTATGTTTTATTTTTTTAAAATCCTAAGCACAAAAATTATTTGTTATTAAATTCAAACAAAAATTACATTGTAAAACATTTTGAGGTTGTCAGGATTAAAGAGATAATCTGAAAAGTCTTAGACTATCTGGTTTACCTTACAGGCTTTGAAACTTAAGGTTTTTTTGTTTAAGCTGGGAGCTGTGGCTGCCACCTGTAATCCCAGCACTTTGGGAGGCCAAGGCGGGTGGATCACTGAGGTCAGCAGTTTGAGACCAGCCTGGCCAACATGGTGTAACCCCATCTCTACTAAAAATGCAAAAATTAGCTGGGTGTGGTGGCATGCACCTGTAATCCCAGCTACTCGGGAGACTGAGGCACAGGAAGAAGTAGTCGTAGAAATTTTTAATCATTTTTAGGATTTTTAGGGACCTCCAAGCAGTATACAAGCAGCCATAACTGTGCCTTTGTTTGAATCATTTATTTTAAAAATTTGTAAATGTTCTCTAGCATACAATGAATGATATTTTATAGAAAAAGCAGTTGACCAAAAGAAAAAAAATTCTTCTGATTGTGGTTTTGCTGTACATCAAAAAAAAAAAAGGCAATTGACTAGTTTTCTAGCAGTGATTACATTTTTTTGAGTTTTAGTGCCTATTCATAGCACTTTTGACCTAGATGTTTCTCAGTTCAGATATTTCATGTTTAATTTTCTTTTTATCTTTTTAATTAAAATTTTCATTTTATAAAAAGGAAATCAGGGTATCTTACAGAAATTTTGGACAAAATTTTTAAGTATCAAGAATTGAATAAATGTAATTGAAAGAGATTTTATTATGCATACCAAATTCACATATGCGGCCAATAGCTGGGCACAGTGGTTTATGCTGGCAATCCCAGTGCTTTGTGTGGCTGAGGCAGGAGGATCGCTTTTAGGCCAGGAGTTTGAGATCAGCCTGGGCAACATAGTGAGACCTCGTCTCTACAGGAAAAAAAACAAAAAACAAAAAAATTAGCTGGTTGTGATGTTGTCGCCTGTAGTCCCAGATACTCAGGTGGCTGAGGTGGGAAGATGGATTGAGCCCAGGAGGTTGAAGCTGCATTGAGTTGTGATTGAATCGCTGCCCTCAAGACTGGGTGACGGGGCGAGACCCTGTTCCAAAAAAATCAAATTTAGATGTGTGTATTCTAATGTTTTGAAAGTTGATTAATCCAAATATCAAAATACATTTATTTTAATTTTCTTACAGAGTTGAATTTTTTTGAATTTAGTATTGTAGCCACATGCTTTTTTTTTTTTAAATGGAGTTTAATCTTCCAGGGTTTTTATCTATTTATTTATTTATTTTTGAGACAGTCTTGCTCTGCCGCCCATGTTGGAGTGCAGTGGTGCACTCTTGGCTCACTGTAACCTCTGCCTCCTGGGTTCAAGTGATGCCTTGGCCTCGGGGGTAGCTGGGATTACAGCTGTGTGCCACCATGCCCAGCTAATTTTTGTATTTTTAGTAGAGATGGGTTTTTACCATGTTGGCCATTCTAGGCTTGAATTCTTGGGCTCAAGTGATCTTTCCCACCTTGGCCTCCCAAAGTGCTGGAATTATAGGCATGAGCCAACATGCCAGACCCTTTTATTTCTCTCTCAGTAAAGAAATTTGCTAGCTTCCGGGAAACTTGGCTTCCGGGAAACTTGTTCACTTAATATGGACAGAAAATGCCAGAATGTGCAGGCACAGGAAGTGTCAATCTAAAATGAATGTTATCTTACCGTTGACTTGTTTTTTAATTCATAGTCTGCCTGATGTGTGGGTGAATGAAAGTGAACGACATCAGTTAAAAACTAAAGTAGTTCATTTATCAAAGCTACCCAAAGATACTGCCTTGCTTTTGGACCCAAACATATACAGGTAATTTAATTCTTGCCTTTATGTTTTACTTTTTGAATTGTAATTTTCTCTCCCCCAAATTTGGATAAATTAGGACTTAGTTTTCAGAACCGAATTTTAATATCAAGCATATCTTACTACTTCCTGGCATTTTTTTCCTTTGGTGTGTGGACTCACAAAAAGTTTAAAAATTGTACAATCCAGGAAAATAGTATTTTGCTAAAGTTTATATGCTTGTTTAATCCCAGATTTATCTTAAGTAGTAATTTGAAGATAAATGCCCTTTTAACAAGGTAATTTCTTACATAGTAACAGACTTTTGTGGACCTAATACGTTGCATGAGTCTGAAATACCAAAACTGTTTTGATTTTTTTTTTGAACTTACACTTTCTCCAAACTTTCTGAAAGAGCAATTCAAATATTATTTGTTTGTTTTTTTATATGTAGCTTAGAGTGTTCACATTTCTAGTACTTTTATGATTTGAGTTTTTTTAGTGTACTATGCTTATAAAGGTATGGGGGGAAGGAGAAGAGACCAGAATTTCTGTCTGTGTGCTAAGTCACTTTGCTAGGTGCTTTGTATACTTTATCCTCACGGCTGCTCTGTGAGGTAGGTTTTACTGTCTCTGCTTTACAGATTGGAAAACTGAGGCAAGAGGTTAAATAGTCTACCTAAGGTCTACAGAATGTGATTGAACTCCATGGTGCCTCTATCCAAATGAGGTACATTAGAGTGATTTAAAAAGTGGTGGCAATGCTTAAAACCAGCTTTTAAAAGGCAGTCTTACCGAAAGGGCTTTATGTCTTTTTGAATGAAACTTTGTGTATTTTAGCTGTTGTAAAGATAGCTAATTTTATAGTGACACTTTGGAGGACGTATTCATTCCATGATGTACTTTCTGAGTGTTACTCACATAGACTCCTGTAATTTGAGACATTATTCTATGAGTGAAAGTCTAACTATAGACATTTCCATGTGGAAACAGTTTTCCCTACCACAAAAAAGGTGTTTTTGGGTGGGCCCAGTGGCTCATGCCTGTAATCACAGCATTTGGGACGCTGAGGCAGGCAGATTGCTGAAGTCTAAGAGTTCAAGACCAGCCTGGGCAACATAGCAAGACCCTATCTTTACAAAAAAATACAAAAATTAGCCAGGCATCGTGGCACATGGCTGTGGTCCCAGCTACTCAGGAGGCTGAGGTGGGAGGATTGCTTGAGCCTGGGAGTTCGAGGTTGCAGTGAGGCAAAGATCGTGCCACTGCACTCCAGCCTGGCTGATAGAGTGAGACCCTGTCTGAAAAAAAGAAGTTTCTTCTCGAACTTCTTTTGATGAAAGTGCTAATTAATACAGTAAAACTTCTTCTTTGTGGAATGAACTAGATCATCAAGGAGAAGAAGATTGAGAGTAGTCTACTACTAAAAATTTGGGAAGGTTACAAGTTACCACTCAGAGAGTTGTCGAAGGAGCATGGATCTTAAAGTAAGATTAGTCTGTGTTTCTGCCCGGCATCCTACTTCCTTCTTTCAAAGAGTCTTGCCTTCTCACCAAACCAGCTTATTTTTTTCTGCTCTTGTGCTATGTAGGAAGCAATTGAGATATTTTAGTGAAAGTGACTTGAAAAAAATTAAGCTTAGAACAGATATTCTGAAGTTCATAGGAACAGGGTTGCATATTCTCAAATATGTGTGTGATTCCACAATTCTTACCGATTTTATTGTTGGAAATGAGAATGTTATTAGGATATATTAGGTGCTTCTGTGGATTTAATTTTCCTTACCCGTATCCAAAAAACCATCTTGGCTAGGCGAGGTGGCTCACGGCTGTAATTTCAGCACTTTTGGAGGCCGAGATGGATGGATCACTTTTGGCTGGGAGTTCGAGACCAGCCTAGCCAACATAATGAAATCCTGTTTCTATTAAAAATGCAAAAATCAGTCGAATATAGTGGTGCACGCCTGTAATCTCAGCTACTTGGGTGGCCGAGGCATGAGAATCACTTGAACCCAGGAGGCGGAGATTGCGGGGAGCCAAGAACGCATCCTGCATTCCAACTGGGGCTACAGAGCGAGACTGTGTCCAAAAAAAAAGCCACCATAAAACTTACCTTTGACTCTTCATGCTTTCACTGTTCTGAAAATCAGAATTGAGTGTGCTGTAAAGTGGTACAGATTTGCCCTGGTGTAGCAGTCTTTTCTTAAATTTCTGGATTTTGATTTGGAAAACTTGTGAAATTAATTAAAATAAGAAAATTATTCTTTCTTGTTTTTAGGAGAAATAATTTCCTTCTTGTGCACATATCAAAATGAAAGCATGGCAAACCTTCTGAAAAATATATTTCTTCAAAATGAGACAAAATACACAGTTGGCCCTCTGTATCCACAGCTTCCACATCCATGGATTCAACCAACTGTGTATGAAAGCTATTTGGGGGTAAAAGATAACAATACAACAACAAAAAAAATACAAATAAAAGACCAGTGTAGGATAACGCTGGTTTACATAGCATTTATATTATGTTAAGTATTATAAGTATGCAGAAGGATGGATGCAGGTTATTTGGAAATCCTGCTATTTCCTTGGATTTTGGAATCTGCAGGAAATTCTGTTCTGGGGACCCCCACACTTCCACTGTGCATGCCGAGGGACAACTGAATTTATTTGGGATTTAAGCTTCAGGGTTAGTTGTTTCTGAGACCACATCTGTCTGTCTTCCCAGGCTTATCTTGAACTCCTGGGCTCAAGCAGTCTTTCTGCTTTCGCTTCCCAAACTGTTGGGAGGATTACAGGCATGAGCCACTCAGACCCAGCCAAGCGTCGGTTTTAAAGTACTAGTTGCCTAAAATGTATGTGTTACACATGGAATTCTATCTTAGAAACGCACAAGCAGGCGAAATTTAAAACTTCTATTAAGCAACGATTATTATGTAACTAAGTATGGATCCATATGTATAAATGTTTTGGAAATAAATTTTCATTATACTCTATGATCGTCACATTGCCTGTATCTTAGAAATATTTTTAATGTCTCTTGAAGCAGTGTGTTTGATTTAGTTGAATAAAAGAATTTCTTTTTCTCTTTTTCTAGAACAATGCCGCAGAAGAGGTTGAAGAGGTAAAAAATAAATAAATACATAAAAAGCAAACAAGCGGGGACACCTGCAGTCTTAGTCACTGACAATGGGTTTAGGAAAAGTTGCACATTAGAGTCAACCCCTTCCTTTTTTTTTTTTTTTTTTTTTTAAAAAAAAAAAATCCAGTATTTAGGATAATATTTATGCTTAGTGTAAACATTCTGTGAATGAAGTAGACTCTTCAGTGGAATATATTAATATATTACTGTATATCCACATTTTCATGGAATGGTACTGTGGGAGACTGAGCAAACACTCTTTTGGCAACTTAGTAGAACAGCTTCTTAAAGGCTTTGCATGCTTGCTGCTTTAAGCTGCTTTTCTTTTTTTCCCCCCCCTTTAGTGATTTCAGTAGTTTATATTGGAAAGAAAAACAATTACAACATGTGCCCTTACAAACACCAAAAGCACTGTAACGATATTTGTCTTGACAGTGTTTATTGATTTGAAGTCATATTAGGAAGTATTTAGACAATGAAAATTATCAAGAGATAATTTACTTTTCAATTATGATAAATAGATGTGATTGGTTGCCATTTGTGTTCTTTTGCAGAACTCTGATAAGAAAAGTGTTCAATTTGTATTTAAGCAAACAGTGAACGACGTTTGCAATCAACTAAAAATTCGTCTATCGAATTAGGGCTGAGAATTACTGTTAAAGAGTGTTGCAGTATGTCTGGTGGCTCCCTTTGCAGGACTAGGGCTTCCTCATGGGGTACAGTACCTTCATATTTACCTATATAACTAATCTGTTAACGGTTTTTGAAAAACCTTTCAAATTATTTGAACAATCTTCATATTTTCATTTAACCTATATGACTCTAATTTTTTTCTGAGGAAATCATTTGGTTTTTGAGTTGTTTTTTCTTAATGTAAGAAAAATTGTATTTTTTTTACAAGTATCTTCAAACTGAATCTTTTATGCACCAAAGTTGGTTTTGAAAAGGAAAATAAAATCACTTTCTTGCTTGGTAAGCAAGAAGCCATATCGATTTTTTTTAACTTACAGAAATGGAAATATGTGTAACTTGTTAGTATTGTATTAAACAAATGTTGCATAGAGATAATAGAACATTGCTTGTAAATAATTCAGCAGATTTGTAATATATTTTTATATTTTGAAATGTACTGTAGATGTTTTTCTAGAGGCATGGAAGTTAAATGTATATATTATGGTAGAAATAATATTGAAGGCTATGGTAATTCACTAGTGCTGCCAGAGGAATTGTTAATAAAAGCACCTTCTTTAACAATAAATGTCTTTCGCAGACTTAAGGGACTCTGTACTACTGTTAATATCTATCAGAACAAAACAAATTGAACATCCTTCCAGAAAGTCTTTGAGGGAGGACCTATGCCCATAATAGAATTATGGCACTCATTTCCGACAGTGATCATGAAATCAGTTATTTCCTTACTGTTGGAAGGACACGTTGGGAAGTGTGTGGTTATTTGCAGTGAAACTGCAGAAAATACTCCTGATTGAGGAGTTCTCACTTAATACAGTAATATAAAAACCAGCAGTTTTTACACTAAATTTTTTAAAGAAATAATAGACAAAAATATTGAATTAAACCTTTGGTTCCAAAATGGGAAAGGTTCCATGATACATAAATCATTTCTCATTTGCTTTACAAAATTAAAAAATGTAAAAATGATGAGAGACTTTATTCGTGAACAATGGGGTAAAGAGCTATTTACATGAAATGAGTCTTATAAACTTAAATGACGTGCGAAGGAAGGCACCGCCACTGGAAGGCATTCTGGAACGGTTGTTGGTAGGGTATTGTCCGTTTGGTCTATAGCAATGTGATTCTATTTTTGAAAAGCAAAGTGTTTCCTTTGTTTGTTTTCTTTTGCGTAAGCACTTCATCCATTGCTTTATTCTGTATCTGCGAAGTAACCTGCAATCTTTTTTGTTCTTTTTAAAATTTGATTTGTTATGAAATTGCCAAATAGAAGTGTTTCAGATACATAGTTTGTACCTGTATTTTTATTTTATTGCCTCATGTTCTTGTAAGTCATTCTTAATTGACCAATGATTGTAGACCTTGCTTGAGTATTTTTTCTAATAAAACAAAGCAAATCACATATAGCTTCAAATTGTAACAGTTTAATTCAATTTTAAAATGACACCTGAAAAGATACATCTGATATTTTCTAAAGAGCACAGTAAATAAGTTTTTTCATTGTGTAGAAATACTTGGATGTCAAAACCAGATTTCCTGATTCTTGATTAACTACTGAGTATTCAATCACTCATAATTCTTTTGCTGCTTATCTGATGTTGGTTTGATACCATTGATTAACACACCAAAAAGAATGTGGAATTGAAATAAGCTAGATTTATAACTTGTATGTATACATATATACACATAACATCCAATTATGATTGGGTAATAAGTGTGAAAATTTTAATTTGTGGTTTTCATTTATGAATGTCTGGCCATCTGTATTGTTCCTCCTGCCTTCTAGTATGACATATTTGTAATATGACACCTGAGATAAGTCTGTTGTCCAGAATGTATGTATTGCTCAGCACCAAGCCAGCCACAGCTCACAAGCGTGCCCATTTATATGTGTGTTTTCTGTGCCTGCTTTCTCCCTGCATTGGCAGAATTCAGTGGTGAGACCTTAGGTCCTGCAAGCCCCAAATTTTTACTGCAGGTTGGCAATCCCTAATCCAAAAATCTGAAATAAAAAATGCTCCAAAGTCCAAAACTTTCTGAGTGCTGACATCATGCCGCAAGTGGGAAATTCCACCCCAGACCCCGTGACTGGTCGTAGTCAAAGCGTGACTACAACTTCGTTTCACGCATAAAATTATGAAAACTGTCGTATAAAATTACCTTCAGTCTGTGTGTATAAGGCGCATGTGAGATATAAATGAGCTTTACGTTTAGTCTTGGATCCCATTTCTTGAGTCTCATGTATATGCAAATACTCAAAAATTTGAAAACATCCGAAATCTGAAATACTTCTGCTCCCAAGCATTTCGGATAAGGGATACTCAGCCTGTCTCTGGTCCTTTAAGAAAAAGGTTTTGGTTCCTTTGTCTAGCTGACAAAAAGTTTAGAAACATAAACCTAGACCACGCAACTTGCATTTTAATGTGTACTGTTGATCTCGTTAATAAGCCAGTACATTAAATTTTAGTGGAAGATTTAATGTATTTTACAGTAAATATTGCTGTATCAGGTACCTACAACGAATGGTGGTTTTTGGAAGCTTTTACATTGGGTTTTTAAATAGTTATTAATAGTCCTTCATTGCATCAGTTGTGTTTCTGTATTTATTTTACTAAGAACTAAATGATATTTTGTATGTCAGGTTGTGTTTGAACTATAAGGCACATCTGCTTTATCTAAAAGAATCTTGAGGTGGAAAATAGTGTAAAATTTAAAATTTTTTATATTTCTGATAAACTTTTTATATATAAATGTTACCGAAAGTTCTAATAAACTTTTTACATATAAATGTTACCTAAAAATGCTCTACTAAAGATCTTTGTATTTTAATAAGTGCTCCACTAACAATCTTTGGTATTTTTAGTGGAGCATTTTTTAAACTAGTGTACAATTTAAAATTTCTTATTTCTAATAAACTTTTTATATATACATGTTGCCTAAAATAAATACGTTTGCTGATTTTTTTTTTAAGATTAGAATATTTAGGCCGGGTGCGGTGGCTCAAGCCTGTAATCCCAGCACTTTGGGAGGCCGAGGCGGGTGGATGACGAGGTCAAGAGATCGAGACCATCCTGGTCAACATGGTGAAACCCCGTCTCTACTAAAAATACAAAAATTAGCTGGGCATGGTGGCGCGTGCCTGTAATCCCAGCTACTCAGGAGGCTGAGGCAGGAGAATTGCCTGAACCCAGGAGGCGGAGGTTGCGGTGAGCAGAGATCGCGCCATTGCACTCCAGCCTGGGTAACAACAGCAAAACTTCGTCTCACAAAAAAAAAAAAAAAAAAAAGATTAGAATATTTAAAAAATTTAATGGTTATGAGGCTCTGTAGCTTTAAACTATTACAGTCGTAAAATGTATTCTTATTTTTATCTGAAAAAACTGACGTTGCATAATTTATTGAATCAAGTTTGCATGGTATAACACATGGTTCTGTTAATCTGAAAATTAGGAAGGATTTGTAAGCAGGTTAGAGCAGGAATTGCAACCCAGATTTTTTTTTTCCCTAGGTCAGAATTATTTTCACGGTACCAAACTGCTGCTCACAGAGTGAGAACATGAACGTGCACTGTGACACCACTACAAAGTTGTGTCCAGTGTTTCTGCCACAGCCAGTGCCTAGCATGATCATCCATGGCACAGAATAGTCTCTAAATTACTTGTTAAATGAGTATCATAGGTGAGTAATTCTTATAGTACAATAGTTTGGAAAATTACAGTGATAAACGGTAGTAGGGTTGAAGTGACCTGGCTTAAGCCACATTTTGTGACGTCAGATACCATTTCATAAGAACCTTATTTACCAGATGCAGTGGCTCTTGCCTGTAATCCCAACTACTTGGAAGGTAAGCAGGGAGGATTGCTTGAGGCCGGGAGTTTGAGGATACGGTGAGGACCCCCCTCCTCCACCCCGCCTTTTTACTTTTTAAGATGGTGTCTTGCTCTGTTGCCAAGGCTGGAGTACAGTGTCACGATCTCAGCTCACTGCATGCAGCCTCCCGCTTCCAGGTTGAAGTGATTATTGTGCCTCAGCCTCCCAGGTAGCTGGGACTACACGTGCGTGCCACCATGCCCAGCTAATTTTTGTATTTTGTAGTAAAGATGGGGTTTCGCCATGTTGGCCAGGCAGGGCTTGAACTCCCTACCTCAAGTGAGTCTCCTGCCTCGGCCTCCCAGAGTGCTGGGATTACAGGCATGAGCCACCGTGCCTGACCCCTCCGCCCCCCTCTTTAAAAAACAACAGCAAAAAAATGACCTAATAAAAGGAACTATGCTTCAGTTTGTTTAAATATTCTTAGTGTGTAGGGTTATTGATGTCATATTTTTACATGTTTGGATGTCATATTTTGGCTTACTTAATTTTTTAAAATGTTCTTTTGTTTGTTTGTATTTTGAGATGGAGTCTCTGTTGCCCAGGCTGCAGTGCAGTGGCTTGGTCTCGGCTCACCGAAACCTCCGCCTCCCTGGTTCAAGCAATTCTCCTGCCTCAGCTTCCCGAGTAGCAGGGATCACAGGTGCCCGCCCTCATGCCGGGCTAATATTTGTATTTTTAGTAGAGATGAGATTTCACCATGTTGGCCAGGCTGGTCTTGAGCTCTTGACCTCATGATCCACCCTCTTCAGCCTCCCAAAGTGCCGGGATTATAGGCAGGAGCCATTGTGCCCAGCCCAGAATTCTGTTTTATGTTACAAATAACAATTATTTTTTGAGACAGATTCTTGCTCTGTTGCTCCGGCTGTAGTGCAGAGGTGGGATCTTAGCTCACTGCAGCTTCATTCCGACACTTTGGGTTCAAGTGATCCTGTGGTCTTGGCATCCTGAGTAGCTAGGGCTCCAGGCCGGCACCGCCACGTTGGCTGCCTTTTGAATGTATTGCCCAGGCTTGGTCTTTTAACTCCTGGGATTACAGGTGTGAGCCACTGAACTTGGCCCATTTTTTAAAAAAACTAGTTTGAAGGAATTACCCAATTTTGATTTCTTGGTTTTTGAGATGTAGTCTCTCTGTCACCAAGGCTGGAGCCCAGTGGCGTGATCTCAGCTCACTGCAATCTCCACCTCTCCTGGGTTCAAGCGTTTCTCCTGCCGCAGCCTCCCGAGTAGCTGGGATTACAGGCGTGCACCACCACACTTTTTAGTAGAGCCAGGGTTTCACCATGTTGGCCAAGCTGGTCTCAAACTCCTGACCTCGTGATCTGCCCACCTCAGCCTCCCGAAGTGCTGAGATTACAGGAGTAAGCCAACGCACCTGGCCGGTCTTCTCCCCTCCCACCAACTCTCCCCTCCTTTTTCCTTCTTTCTCGTCTTACTCTTGCCCAGGCCGGAGTGCAGAGGCACGATCTTGGCTCACTGCAACCTCTGCTTCCTAGGTTCAAGCAATTCTCTTGCCTCTCCTCCCGAGTAGCTGGGTTTACAGGCATGTTTCACCACACCCAGCTGATTTTTGTCTTTTTAGTAGAGCCTGGGTTTTGCCAGGATGGTCCTGAACTCCTGACCTCAGGTGGTTCGCCTCCCTCGGCCTCTCAAAGTGCTGGGATTACAGGTGTGAGCCACCACGCCTGGCCTGGTTCCTTTATTTGAATGTTTTTCCTTGATCCTAGAGCGTTGCTGCCCTCAGAGAACCTTTTTTCCTCTGTAGTGTTCATAGGCTTCTGCTAAAAAAATTACATTTTGCGAGACCTGCGAGTTTATGATGAAATTGCAGCGGACTTACATATTTCTGTTGAAAGCTTTCACGAATCTATTTATATTTGGATGCCCCATGGGTCTTGTGTATACATAATTATTACATTTTGGGGACCCTTTTTTTGTTAGAAAAACAGTATTTTTAGAGAAAGGTGTGTAGCTAGGGAATAGTAATAGATTGTGAAACTGATAGCTTCTCTTGAGAGCTGGGCTCAGAGCAAGTAATGTAGGACAGACGCCATCGAGCTTTGCAGGTGAGTGGGTTATCAGGTTCCCAGCTCGTGTCCTCTTGAATTTCATAAATTAAGAGAGAACCTAGTTACTGTTTTTAGTGCCCATGTAGCAAGCGCCAGTCTTTGTAGACGTTAGCTTATTTAAATTTCGGTCTCTTGTTTTCATATGTGGCCTCCCCAAACCTGAAAGATCTGATTTCTTTTTAAATGTAATTTCAGAAGTCAGCGGTTGTTTCAGAATTTGTCCTAAGGATCAATAGTATCTTTTAAAGTAACTTTTAATATTGTTGTAATGACCAGATTGAAGAATTTATAAATACAGAAAGCAGGAACAAAATGGCAGTCTTTACCTTCAACTGACCTCAGCTTCCTGATCTCCTGATTAATATTTTTTTTGTGTGCTTTTTAAAATTGTTACACATTCAGTTCTGTGATTTGATGTTTTTTTTGGAGACAATCTTGCTCAGTCGCCCAGGCTGGAGTGCAGTGCTGCGATGGCCTGCTGTACCCTCCGCCTCCTGGGTTCACAAAATTCGTACTCAGCCTCCAGCATCCCAAGTACCTGGGACTACAGGCATGGATTTCACCTTTTTTACTTACCGCATTCACATAGATCTTTTTTTTTTTTTTTTGGAGACAGTCTGTCACTTAGGCTGGAGTGCAGTAGCATGAATAGGACTCATGCAGACTCCACCTCCCTCATTGAAGCGATTCTTGTGTCTCAGCCTCCCATGCTTCGGCTAGGATTACAGGCATGTGCCACCACGTCCAGCTAATTTTTGTATTTTTGGTAGAGATGAGGTTTCATCATGTTGGCCAGGCTGGTCTTGAACTCCTGACCTCAGGTGATCAGCGACCAGCCCGCTTTGGCCTCCCAAAGTGCTGGGATTAAAGGGGTGAGCCACCATGCCTGGCCTGAAATATACTTTGAATGATATTTGTATACTTTGATTTCCTGGAAGACATTGTTAACCGACTTAAAGAATTTTGTTCATTGTAAATTGTGAGTTGTGTGCATTATAAGCTTTCGCACTGCCAAAATGTTTTCCTTAGGAGGTGGTACCAACGTGAGCTTCCATCGACTGAGTGTGAATATTGTTGCTCATGCTGTGTTGATACTTAAATATTATTCTGGTCAGTCTAACGTGGGCAAGCGGCATAAGTATCTTTCAAGCCATTTCAGTTGTACAGTTAGATGAGTTTTGGTTGCTGTATATGTAATCACCAAAGAACATTTCCGTCACCTTTCATAGGTTCCACCCTGCTTCCTTTCTTCCATCCTCAGCTCCAGGCAACCACTGATGTGCGTGGCACTACAGCAGTTGCGTTTTCTAGCATTTTATATAAGTGGAATCATGCAGTGTGTACCCTTTGGTGTATGTTTTCCAGCATAAATGATTCTGAAAGGCATCAGTAATACTGTAATAAATATTTGCATTTTTTACTTCTCCAGTGCTACTGAACATAGTTTTTCTGTCGTTTTTTATTGTTTATACTTGATATTGGAGACGCTAAAAATTATCTAAAGTCTCTGAATTCAGATTGCCCTTTAAGATTTACTAAATAAATAAAAAAGACTTTTTGTTCTAGAGTATTGGTTGGGCAGCATTAAAGACATCAAGGCAGTTCGATAAAATGAATTTTTGACTGTTTAATCAGTTTTTTTTTTTTTTTGAGACGGAGTTTCACTCTTGTTACTGAGGCTGGAGTGAAATGGCGCGATCTCGGCTCACCGTAACCTCCGCCTCCTGGGTTCAGGCAATTCTCCTGCCTCAGCCTCCGGAGTAGCTGGGACTCCAGGCACCCGCCACCATGCCCAGCTAATTTTGTGTATTTTTAGTAGAGACGGGGTTTCACCACGTTGACCAGGATGGTCTCGATCTCTTGACCTCGTGATCCACCCGCCTCGGCCTCCCAAAGTGCTGGGATTACAGGCGTGAGCCACCGCGCCCGGCTAATCAGTTTCAATTTAAATCCGTTTTTTAAAGGTATATTGCTTATGATGGGGGTCTTTATGTTTTCATGTGCTGGAGACATTAAAACAAGTATAATTTATTGCTGTTGTAGTAGCAATGATATTAGGTCAACTTTTAGCCTCCAAAATAAAAATCATATTAATAGAAGGCAAAAATCTTACAGGACTTAGAAATACATTTAAAGACTTTCCAAAAAGACAACCCTCAAACTACCCAAATGGTATCAAGTGAAATATACATAGAAAATTATACCCATTCAGTATCAGGCGCTGCAAATTGCAAGGCCCTGCTCCCGATGCTGCAGATTTAGCAGTGAAGAAAACCAGCAATTCTGATCTCACAGATCTTAGAATTGTGTGTATGGGGGATGGCGGGCAATATGCAAGTGAGTGAAACACGGTGTAAATGCTGTGAAGAAAACGTGGGGAGAGGGAAGTGAATTTGTGATAGAAATTAAGCGGGGTGCTTGGTAAGCAGGGCCTTACTGAGCAGCCCTGAAGGAGCCGAGGGAGAACACATGCGGGTACCTGAGAGGAGAGGATCCTCATCTGAGAGAACAGCAAACATAAAGGCCCTGAAGCAAGAGCGTTCGTTAAAATGCTTTTTACTTGCTGTTCTCTTAGACTGTCCCAAGTGTGCTTCCAGGTGCTGGAGACACTGCGCCGAACAAAACATTAAAAAATAATCCCACCTTTTTAGGCCTTAACATTTCATCATGCTTGGTGTGTTTGTAATGCTGAGGTGGAGGTGAAGAGATTTCGAGGGCATGGAAAGCCTTAGGAGGGTT